TAATTAGGAATTAGCTAAATATGTTAATGCAGGTCAGATATTATATTAATGCTAGCCAGATATTATGATAATGCCGGTCGAATAATCTTATTTCGGGATCATATTAAAAATCCCGCGCGTGCCCATCTTTACTAAAGGTTAATAACTCTAAGAAGTAAAAAACCAAAAAAAAGAGTTAGTAACTATTGCACTAATTAATAAAAAAACAAGTTATGAAAGTAATACTTTATTGGAAGTCTTTGAAAGAATAAGTTAAATAACACTTAGATTAGATAATAATATTTTCTAATTTTTTTTTAAAGAAAGATAAGAATATAGTTAGTGTTATTATTATAATTTAATTGTAATTCTACTTATCTAAATAAAATCTAAATTTGGTTTATACTTCTTTTGTGCAATTCTTAATTTATAAAAACTTTTTTTTATATATTAGCAACTTGAAAAATAAGTAAAAGTTAATAATGTTTTTCTTAAAAGTCTTACATTATTCTTAAAAATCCATGTTTATAATATTAATCTTATTTTGCTAACTATTATTGGACTTGAGACACAAGTTATCTATTTATATTTTATAGTATGTACCTATAAAATACCAAGTATTTTGTTATATTAAAAATGCTGTATTATTTATTTTTAATATTTTATATAGTATTTTATAATTTATATACTCTTCTAAACATTTGAATTAATGTTTCAAAAATTTAAAATTCAATTATTCAGATACATAATCTTAGTATAAATATATATCTATATTATTAGAGCTAATATTTAGTAATAAAATCTTTAATTATAATAATATTAATAACTTAATATTATCTGTAAAATTAAATACTTATTTTTATATTAATTTAATATATTAAAAAAGAACTCTTTTTATAGATCACTTATACTAAAACTGCAAAAAAATATTTAATTATTTCTCAATTTTCTACTAAGTAAACCTTACTTGGCTCTTTAAATAAAGTTATTTAGCATATTTTTTTTCTTTTAGGCAGCTATGTTTTAAGTTTCAAAAATACTTGGTTATTAAAAAAAGTTTAAAAAACTAAATTTTGGTTTTTGTTCATTTTTACAAAATTTTATTAATTAATCATATTTTCTTATTTATTCAAATATTATTCAGCTCATTGAGATGAATATTTTAATATATAATTTATCTAAAACAAACCAAAACTTATAGAGATATAAGCAAAAAGTGAAACCAAAAACTTGTTTTTTGCAGATTTTTTTACTGGCATTTTAGGAAAATTTACAGGATTGTCTCAGAAATTTCATTTTTTTGATACCTATTAGAATTTCCTAAATATCTAATAAGCTTATCTAAAACTTGTATACTTTTTTAAATTTTCTTAACTAGTTCAAAAACTTCTAAATTAAATAAATTTTTTTGTAAAACATATTTAAGAATCTATTTTTAGAACAAAATACTGACCTTGATAACAGTTGTATCTAATACTATTGATCTTAATTATTTTTGCTAAAAGTGTTCTAAAAGCTTCGATATTGGTATTCTTAAAGATGTAGCTAATACATCATGCTCCATTTCTGCAAACAAACAATCAAACAACTGTTCAACTACAGAATTTAGAGGAGAAACTAAAAGTTGTCATTATTTAAAGTATCTGAATCTAGTTTTATTGTTATATACTTTTGTGACAAATTTTACATCCACTTTATCTTAACTTCCAACCAAATCTACAAACAACATGAAATTATTCCTACTAACAAAAAATTTAAAAATAAAAAATCCTTAGTAAATAATATTACAAACTTCATTAAATTTATTATGTTATCACCTACAGCATTACCCTCATTCACCACACACAATCACTAATGTGTTAAATACAACTTGTCTATCACTTATAAAGAAATGAATAACTAACATTATCTGATAACAAATATAATTTTATATAATAACAAACCTCATTACAAAACATATGCAGACATTTAACAACCTAGCCAACAATTAAGTTCTTCTCCTATATTTATACAAAAATTTCAACAATCAATCCAATTATACAATTTATTAGTATTTGAACTTAGTTTTACATCATCTTTAAGTAATATTAGTAATCTAAATGCTATTGATTTGGATAACAATATAATTAATAACAATAACCAACAATTATTATAGTTTAACAAACAATTAAAATAACAATAATAACCAGATAAACAATAACAATAACCAGACAAACAACAACAACAACCAGATAAACAATAATAATAACAACAGTAAAAATAATTTAATACTAACAACAACTAACAAAAAACTAAAACCAACTTAATATTTGACTAGCTTGTCAGCTTCTTTGTTACTAAAGAAATGAAAGATAAATCTCAACTTCAGACAGACATTCACAGGTCGAATGAATAAATAAAAGGTGAATAATAGATAAATAACAGAAAAAAAATCTGCTATTATTCTACCTTATATTTGCCAAATAATGGCAGCATAATAGTAACATAATAGCAGAATAACAGTAAAATAACAGAAAATTTATCAATATAAGTAACATAATAGTAACATAATAGCAAAATAATAAAACAGTTCTATTATTTTACTTTTAGTTACAAAGACTAAAAATAAAATAATAAAACTGTTCTATTATTTTGCTATTATGTTACTATTATGTTACTTATATTGACAAATTTCCTATTATTTTACTGTTATTTAGCTGTTATGCTGTCATTATTTGGCAGATATAAGGTAGAATAATGGCAGATTTTTTTTCTATTATTTACCTATTATTTACCCTTTATTTATTTATTTAATCTGTGTTATTTATATAACATTTTATATAACTGAATCATTTGTAATATTGCTGTTATATATAGTAGTTTTTCTTTTATAAAGTTAATCTTTTTTTAAAAATTCCTAATCTATTTTTGTACTTTATTTTAAGACTTTTTACAAAGCTTTATATTTGATTTAGTTTCTAATTTAAATTACAGAGTTTAAAATTTTTGAATTTTGTCTTTAGTCTAACTCAAACTATGAAAAGAATTAGCAACTTTACTGTTTTTATTCTTTTTATTTTTATTTTTAAATATTTCTAATTTATTTATATTTATTATTTAATTAATTAAATTAGAATTTTAATATATTATTTTTGTTTTTATTACCTATTGTTCTAGTGATAAAAATTATATCTATTTTAATTTCTATTGTTTTATTTATTTATTTTTATATTATATTTAATTATAATTTTGTTGCCAATTTTTTGTTCTATTGACAAAATTTTTATTTTATTTTAAATTCTATTGTTTCTTATTTCAAATGTCTTAGAATTTCTATTACTTAATCATAAAAGATATTATATTGTAATTTTATCTAAATTACTTATTGCTATACATTTTACTATTTGCTCAATGTCATTTGGGTTGTGAGGCATTGTATCTCTTAAAGGATATCACTGTATGTGTAGACAGTGTTTTTCATGTGATACGAAATATCTCAAAAACGTCCTCACTATCAGAATTTGCTTTGTTTAAAGCTCGAAAAAAACTGCAATTTAATTATTTAAACTTAAAGCGGCAAGAATCAGACAACCGACAATATCCTCAATACTCTTAACGGATCGTCATGTATTATTCTAGAAACTTTAAAATATTACAACACGATATATATAAAAAAAGAAATCGGTCTTATCAGGAACAATGCGCGTTAGAGAAATTAAAATAAAAAAATTATATACCGATATATATTAGGTATTTACAGCTTCACATGAGACTAATTGATACATACCCCCTAGATAAAATGTAGTATTGATAAATCATTAACGTTATTAAATTTCATTTAACCAATTGTATTACACGAATATATAATTTTATAGAGATCGTCTAAAAATAGGTAGTTTTGAGTTGATTACTAATTGATTTATAGATTAAAGATAACGTGAATATATATACCCGACTTTAGACTAACTAATGAAGGTATGCACTTAAACTTTAAGAAGATATAACACATTTCTTAAAGGCAAATTTGGAAGGTTATCTGTTATAAACCTTCCGATTGGCTACATGCACAACACTATCTGATATAGTGATTTTCACATACGTACGTATATATGTTAGGCAATTGAATTTTAATGACAAAAAAGACAAAAAACCTCATTATGTCGTCTAATATAATCAACATTACGATTTCCGCTGCTGTTCTTGGCGGTTTTTATTTATACTCTCCAGACTTTTTTCCTATAATAGCTGCACTTGTTTCTGTTTTATGGACTGCTTTCGGAATTAAGCTTTTATTTTTTAATAAGTCAAAAGGTATTGGGTTGGCTTATATTATCAAAGTTTCACGCCTGGCCTTTTTTATATATATGTTTATTTATTTATATCAAATTACTAACAAAACCTTCAGCCTTAAATCCGGATCAATGGAAACAGTTTCCTCTCGTGAAAAAAATAAAAATTAGTCACAATGTTGCCCTGTAATACTTTTAAACATTCTCTTGTAAATTTCGTGTTTATTATCGATAATGTTGCCAAGACAAATTAAATGTTTAAATTCATAGGTACCGTTTCAGTTTATCCAATCCTGATGATATTTTAGGTCTTCCAATTGGGCAGGTAAAAAAAAGGAATTCATACTTATAAATTTCAATCATATTTTAAATTCTCTAAAATTTGACTATTAAAGCATATTTCAATACGAGCGGAGATTGATGGAACTCCGATTCAACGTAGTTACACACCAACAAGTTCCGATGATGATATTGGACACTTTGATCTTGTCATAAAGGTACATTATTTTTTGATATTATAAACACCTAGTATTTGACTATATTCATAATTTATAACATCATTTGCAGACTTATCCAAATGGCAATATATCAAAATGGATCGATGGTCTTGAAGTGGGACAAATGATTACTGTTAAGGGTCCTAAAGGCAAATTTATATACAAACCAGGCTTAGTGAGAGCTTTAGGAATGATTGCTGGTAAGTAAATCTTATTACATCAATTATTTTCTTTTTTCTAGAAAATTGTTCATGATTCCTCCTCTCGTATTAAAAAGGTGGTACCGGTATAACACCAATGTTACAGGTAGCTTACATTGAAAAAATTATGTAATATTATAATAAAGATTTGGATTCACGTCCCTTTGCAATTCTATTTTAGATTATCCAAGCAATTTGCAAAAATCCAGCAGATAAGACGCGTGTCAGTCTTATCTTTGCAAATGTAACTTATGATGATATTCTTCTAAAAGACGAGTTAGATTCTCTCGCTGCTAGTCACGAAAATTTCACTGTGTTTTATTCATTAGATAAAGTATGTATATTATCGTAAAGACTCTTGTCTGAACATTTGGTCTTATTTACTTTTTCATTTGGTTAGCCTCCAGAAGGTTGGACAGGTGGATCCGGGTTCGTTACTCCTGAAGTTATACAAAAATATTGTCCAAGTCCTTCTGATGATATAAAGATATTGTTATGTGGTCCTACTCCTATGGTTAATGCCATGGCTAAACATTGCGAAGCCTTAGGATACAATAAACCCAGAACTATTTCAAGATTAGAGGTAATCCTTCATAATTTTGTAATTCTTTGAATCGTTGTATCTTCTCAAACTACTATTTAAACTATACTAGGATCAGGTCTTCAAGTTTTAAACCGATATATTTGCATGGCATTCTACCACATGTCGAAATGGAGCTTTTTATTATTCGAAAATAGTTTAACATGATTTTAATCCGATGTATTTTTAGATAGTTAATTATGCTTTGTACGAAGTATAGAGTTTTCTATTTACTTGCATCCTTTTTTTGATGTGTCTATAATAAATGAACTATTAAAAGATAAATGTTCAAGCATGCCAAACATTATTGGGATTTAAAAAAAAAACAAAATATGAAAATCGGCAGTATAAACCTATCTTGAAGCATTAATAAAAAATGTCTGATTGAATTAAAATTTCTGGATAATTAAAAAAATTGGTAAAAAAATAAAATTTTAAAAAATAAGACTAGACGGTGCCCCATGCACTTTGTGTTCCCTATTATAAAATTGACATTATCTCGAAATTTTGACTAGGTAACCTCCGTCGTGTAACATAAGTAAAAAATGTTCTCACTAACCCTAACCCTAATTTTACTTTAGTCTGTCTAATTTCTATTGTAGACTTGATTTGTTATAGGACACAGTGCACAGGAGCACCATTTAAATTTTTCTTTTAAAAAATCTATTTTTAAAAGTTTTTAAATCAATAATTAAAAAAAACGCAATATAAACAAAAATAGGTTTTGGTTTTATAGTTTAGTGATTAAGCTTCAAACTCTTACAAACAAGATCAATGGTTTAAGTTGGATTAAAGATGAAAATACTCTGTAATCAAAAAAATCATAGTTATGACATAAAGATTCTGTAATCAAGTTCAAGTAAGTACAAAATAGAATAGAAATTTACAAGAGAAGACTTAATTGTAAAATGTAAGTATTATATATAATAGTAATATTATAGAAGGTTTTAATTATATAAATATTGTATATATAAGTCTTTAAGAAAAGGGTAACATCAACATTCTTATACCTTCAAACTGGATAGTATTAACATTTTTATTTTAACTTGTAAAGTATTTGTTTAAAAATATGATTAATAAATTGTATAAATAAGTTTTAATCTAGATTTAAATATAAAATTTAATTAAAAGTAATTAATAATAGTTAAAATTAGAGGAGTAAAAGAAGTAACAAACTCAATAGTTTGTAACAATATAGATTTAAAATACAGAATTTAATTAAAATAATTAATAATAGTCAAAATTAAAGTAATAAAAGAAATAGTAAACTTAAAAATAGGTTGTAACAAAGAATTAATCTTACTATACTTGAAACATTTTAATATTTATAAAACAAACTAATTGTTGAAAATTAAAATATAAAAATAAATTAAAATTTTATAATATATATAAAACATTTAACAGATAAAAATTAATATTTTGCTATTATATTTTTAATTGTAAATTTATGCTTTATGTAAAAATTTCAAATAAATATTAAATAAAGATAAAGGCATGGCCTTACCATTAATATTAAAAAAAAAAAATTTTTGCTATTTACTACTAGTGGTGATTATCACTAGTATCACAAAACAACTATCCCAACAACATTATAAAAAAGTTTTAGTAATATAATATTTTGTACTATATACTGATCAATAATAAATTCATATTATTATAGAAAGACTTAAATTATTAAAATTAAAACTATCTATACTAAATTTTTGTTTTTCAAAAAAAAACAAATATAATATATACAATCGTATTTATTTCATCAATTTTTAACACACTAATATGAAGATTACTTAAATATACTTTACATGTATACAAAAAATTATTAAAACTTTGCATAACCTTATAAATTAATTTACAATGTAAAAAATTTTGCAAATACTAAAAATACTTTATTGCATTTATAAATAAATAGTAAACTTTATTACTTAATCTATTTCAGATATTTTAGATAATAAATTGTTTTCTGATTTGTATAAACTACTTAATAGAAAGAACTAATAATATGCATCTAATTTTGATTTTGAAATTTCACATAATCTTTAAATATGATCTAGCAAAAAAATTAGTTACAAAAAGAAAAAAGGTGTAGCAAAAAATAAAATTTAAATGCTAATATTCATTTATTTGTTTTAAATTAACATCTTGTAAGTTGAAAGAATCATATATTTCTTTAAGAAATTAATTAATATCTATTTATTAATTACCACCATGCATAATTTTATTGCATTTAATTTATTTAAAATGTGGTTACTAAAATTGAATTATATTTAAATTATAACAATAAACTAATTATAGCAAAAAAGATATTATTATACTAGACAACAATTATGTATAAAAAAATTTGTTTGAAGAATTATTAGTAATTTTACTATTTAGACAATTTTGATTTTATGCAAGTAATTAAAATGCATATATATAAAAACAACCTATTTATTTTTGTAATTAAAATGCTTTCTTTTCTTATATAAATATAATAGTAATAATAAAAAACAATTATAAAAAAATAAATTAGTAAAATAGAAAAAAACTCTTTCCGTAGATCACTTATACCAAAACTACAAAAAAAACATTTAATTATTTCTCAACTTTTTACTAAGTAAAC